GTGACTTGGACTCATTGCGGAAGTTATATTTCCGTTTCCACAACGCGGATGGCATTGGTTTGGCTGAAGTTGACGCTGATCTCTCCGCCTTCAGGTCTTACTTCTCATCCGAGAAACTTCTCCGGTTACAGAATATTAGGGAAAGTCAGAGCAAATATTTCTCTAGTGGCTCTCCACGTAATAATAAAATTTTTTAGATAAGGTGACGCGACCAGAGGATCAAGCACCCTCTGTAAGGTTGGACGATGGCAAGCTTAGTGTATTTCTTATTAATATTCAGTCCTTAAGACACAAAACAGATGAATTATTTCTTTTATTAGAAGAGCTTAATTTTCCAGAAATCATCGCCATTACTGAACACTGGTTAAATATGGATGAACCTGTGTTTGTCAAAAATTACACCTCAATAGCTAGATTTAATCGAAGTAATTTATCTCACGGAGGCACTATGATAATGTCCACTAATAATGACTTTACGGCAATAACCAAGTTTGATAATTTATTATCGGAAAAAATATTTGAATTTTCCATCGTCTATCATAGTGGCTTTGACCTTTATATTGTTTGTTTATATCGATCACCGGACACAGACGCGCACATGTTTTGTCGGAATTTGCTGAGCTTGCTTGACTCCTTGCCCTTGAATTGCAAAATAATTTTATGTGGTGACTATAATATAAATTTTTCCTGTGTGTGCGCTGCTCAAGAATCTCTCCAGTCCATTTTCGACTCCTTTGGGATTGTGATGCATGTAAACTCTCCAACCAGAATAACCAAAACTAGTTCTACTACCATTGACTATGTCGCTTCATCTTTTGATCCAGAATTGGTCAACTGTTCTATTCTTAGTGCAGGGTTTTCTGACCACGAAGCAGTATTAACGAATTTCTCATTGAATTCCTTACGTAAGGGTGCTTCCCGCAAATTGGGCAGAATATTTTCGGACGGAAATTTTTTAAATTTCAGTCAACTTTGCTTATCAGTTGACTGGGTCGTCCACTCAGATGATGTTGACTCCGAGTTCTCTAGATTCATAAATACCCTATCTGACCTGGAGACTAAATCCTTTCCTCTCAGACCCATCAAAGTCAAACGGCATAAACCATGGTCCACTAGTGGCTTGCGTACTTCTGGAAAAAATATGCGATCCTTGTCTCATCTAAAAAAATTCTCGGATAGCGTCTTCTTCAATGATTACGTAAAATTATACCGAAAAGTCTATCAGAAAACCATAAAAGCCGCCAAAGACATTTATTATAATAGGAGGCTGGCAAACTCCAAAAATGTTGGAAAAGAAACATTGTCAATTGTTAATGACTTGAGGAATAAGGCTTCTTCATCTAGCAAAATTCCTACTTCACCTGAGATCCTTAACGATTACTTTGTTGATGTGGCTAAGAATTTAGTGAATACCTTAACTCCTTCCCAGGACCCACTTTCATATCTCCCGAATGCTAAGGTGAACTTACACAGTTTCTTCTTCACGCCTATAGTAGTTCCAGAGCTTCGCAGTACAATCAAAGATATTAAAAACAAATCTTCATCTGGGACTGATGGACTCACCCTCAAAATGTCCTGATTGCACATTAAAACATCTTACTAGTCTGATCAACAAGTCGTTTCTAAATGGAGCTTTTCCAAACTGTCTTAAGATGGCGATAATTGTCCCACTACATAAGGGAGGTGATAAGGAGCTAGCTTCAAACTATCGCCCCATTGCACTCCTTCCTACGCTATCAAAGATCATAGAAAGATCGGTTAAAAAGAGGCTTCTATCATTTCTCTCTAAATATAATATTCTAACTACCAGTCAATTCGGTTTCCTAAGTAACAAATGTACTAATGATGCAATGTTTTCCCTTTTCAATAATGTATACTCCAGCCTGAACTGCCACCACTCTACAGCCTCAATTTTCTGTGATTTCTCCAAAGCTTTCGACTGTGTTAATCATAATATCTTAATTAACAAATTACAGTTCTACGGTTTCAGAGGAATGGCTTTCGAATGGTTTAAGTCTTATCTTGGTAACAGAAGTCAGCTTGTGAGGGTGGACTCGACCATGTCCTCTTGTAAACCAATTGAATGTGGTGTGCCTCAGGGTTCAGTTCTTGGCCCTATTTTGTTCCTGCTATTTATTAACGACATTGCTAATCTGGATATTAGCGGCAAAGTTTGTCTCTTCGCAGACGATACTAGTTTCACTTGGAGCAACCCGGATATTACGGAACTCCATAGAACCGTATCTAGTGACTTAATCACCATCAAATCATGGTGTGACTCAAATCTCCCTTGCCTCAACCTCTCTAAAACCAAAGTTTTATCTTACAGAGCTTCGCTCCAATCTGTAGTACTGGATAACAATACCATGGAGGCCGTTGATTCCGTGAAATTCCTGGGGCTTGTTGTTGATAAATCTCTAAAGTGGGACCTGCATATCGACGCCTTAGCAAAGAAATTAAGTTCGGCCTGTTTTGCACTGAGATCTGTTTCCAGGGAGCTGAACTCGGCAACTTGCAGGATGGTATATTATGCTCTTTTTGAGTCGCATTTACGTTACGCCCTTCCATTCTGGGGCACGTGTTGTGCGTCTCAATTTGAACGCATTTTTAGACTGCAGAAGACAGCTCTTCGTTATTCTTTGGGACTTGGTAGTAGAACTCACTGCCGGGAATTTTTTATCAAGTCTAGTATATTGACTCTTCCATCTTTATTTATTTTCGAATCCGTCTGCTTAATTCGTAAGCACTTAATATCAGCTATCTCAGAGAGGCCATCTCACAATTATCCACTGAGGAACGCAGAGTTGGATCTTTATCTGCCAATCCCGCGCTCAGAGTTAGTTAAAAGTTCAATACTTTATAATGCTAAAAAGATGCATAATCATCTACCGCCTAACATCAGGTCCATTGCATCTTTTCTCGAATTTCGCAGGGCGTTGAAGGTGTATTTACTGGGGAGAGCCTTGTACATAGTAAGCGAGTTGTTTATGGTTTCCTAATTCTAAATTTTGAGCAGCTTACTCACAGGTTTTGTTTTTGTTCCTGTATCATGATAGGTTATTATAAGTTATTGTTTGTTTGTTTTTTTAGTACCTATAATATGCCTCCTCGCACAGTATAAGCAGTTAGACCTAGATGTTTGTTTATTAGTTTTAATCAAATTTTGACCATGAACTATTTGTTCAAGTGTTTGGTTTTGTCTGTGCTTTTGCATTTGTATGTTTTGTTTTTTATTTTTTCAGCTTTGTCCACAAAATTATAAAATTTTCTGAATATCAAGCAAATTCTTTCTTTCTTTCTTTCTTTCTTAAATATCATAGATATAATGAGAAATCTTAAATTATCAGAAAACTTTATTCTAGTGAAGACCAACAAACCGAAATTTTAGCTCATTGCGAGTTATAGTTCCTAGTTCCAGAAATAAAATCCCCCTAACCAGAATCAAAATCTCAAAACAGAAAAATTTTAAACTACATTTTTGAATTAAAAGGGGGTTTTTTAAAGTTGAATTTCTTAAACGTATGAAAAATCATATCTCAACTGTATTATATTATAGATATGAATATGAAATTTCTGAAGACTGTAGTAGTTGTAGTAGTGAAGGACTACAAATCCTAATATTTTGTAGTTTCAGAGATGCAAATTTGTTAAGGACCCACAAAACATATGATAATTTTATCATTCAGAGTCAAAATATCAACAAGAAAAAATTTGCAATTTCAAAGTTTATAAAATGTACAGTTGTTATTATTCCCAGCTCTTGAATGAATATATACAGGGTGTATCATTTTGAAACGAAATAGGCTAAAAATCTGATGTCACGTTTATTTAAAAAAAAAAATCGCTTTTTGATTTTCGAAGGGGGAAGTTTTCTGCAACCATTTTTAGCACTTCAACTTTAACTCTCTAGGTGGGGTGACATCAACCCTTACTATTTCAAATGGAACAAGGAGTGCTCCTTCAAAACAGGTATTACCTGAATATAAAACTGTGAAAAACTCAAAATTAAAAACTTCTTCGAAACTCTTGAAAATTTCTAGAAAAACTATCTGAAGGCAGATCTCAAAACTCGACAGAAGATCCAATAAATGGAATTATCAAATAAAGTAATAATAAAAATAAGTTTCCATTTTGAATTTGAAAAATTGGTTATCTTTCTAGGGGCGTAACCAAAAAGAAATGAAGGGAAAAATCAGAAATATTGCTATTTCGGGAACGGTTAAAGTTACGAGGGCGTTTAAATTAGAAAAAAGTTGCCATTTTTAAAGAATATTAAAAATATATTTTCGTTGTTGCCAAATTTCTATCAGTTTCGCAAATACAGGGTGATTTTTGAAAATTTGCAAAAACAATTTTAACAAATAATTTGAAATCTATTCATTTTAGAAAAATAGTTCAAATTCAAAAGTATTATATTTTTAATATTCCTCAAAAATGGCAACTTTTTTCTAATTTAAACACCCTCGTAACTTTGACCATTCCCGAGATATCAATCAATGCTGTCCCTATGAAATAGTTGGGACCCTGTTATAAGTAAAGCAATTTGGGACAATTTTTCCTTATAATAAAGCTCGTACCTACTTAAAAACTATAGGGTGAATCGTCAATCCAATGGTTAAAATACGCAGAATTGAACAAATAGCATTTGAGAAGCTTTTTATTATAATTCTGAAGCAATTTTTGTACCCTCCTTTATTGACTGTGAGGTTTTTAAGATTTGCATTGAGAAACTCTTCAAAATATTTGTGTTACACTACTGATGAGAACTAATAAATTCGAAACCGGACATTATTATCCATTGTATGGGAACAATTTTTTTTTTTTTTTGATAGAAGCCAATTTCCTTTTTATCCCAAATAAGTCGATATTTTCTAGAATATATCATCAACATATTTAAATCTATTTAAATATCTGATTACCAATGATTATAATATTTCTTATAAGGCAAGGCTAACAAGTCCTAAACCGGGCACGATTTTCAGTGGTGCATCATCTTATAAAACGGATACAATTAATTACTCTCTTCGTCTTTGCCTTGGCTGTAATAATAATTAGCTTAATAGGATAAAAGTGCATTAAAACATTTGATGTTCGCGCTTTAAGTAGTTAACAACTTTGAAGTAGTTAATTTCCTCGAAAAAAAAGGTAATTAATTTACTTTAAGTTAATAATAATTAATTATGTTAGAAGTAGCATTTTGAATTTGATGGCTTTCTATATATAGTTTCTTTAGTCTATTTTATTGCAGTTGATAGCTCCCTCTATGGTTTACGATGGTAGGGTTTTGCAATCACTAATCACTCGGTGGCCCTAACCCTGGGTTTTGAGCTATCCACTGCAATGGAATAGACTATATAGAAAGATAAAATGGGTTTATAGAAATGCGTTATAAAGATTTATAAAGCATTGGAGATAAGGTGTTTTATTAAACGGCGATGATGGAAATAAGTTTGAGTGAATATATAATGAAAGTATGAGGAATCAAAAAGGTGCGTTAGTACACTAAAATTACCTACTGCTATATGTTTAAAATCCAAATTGTTCACAATGTTGAAACACATATTATTCAAAACACAAATTTCAATCAAAAACCACACTACTGCTGACCTTGGTTTTGTTACAAAACTTTTAAGCTTTAAATAATTTTATTTGAAACATATTTGAACGCCATCATATTGAATTTCCCGATACATCGCGGTCTACTTATTTTAAACATAAAAATCGACAAAACTTCTTCTAAAGGAAGGAGCGCGTTTATTAAAGCTTTTATAAAACTACTTCTACAACTTGGCGCTTAGTAAGCCTGACTACATTTTACACATTACACACCAGTTAACGAGCCTATGGTTAACAATGTTGCCATTGATTTTCCCTAAAAAAGATATGTACATGTTTATTTTGAAAAATTTGCAGTAACATGACTAGTGTAGCTGATGAGTTTCTGGATACCAACATTAAAATCGTTTCAAGACAATTTTGCCTACTGTGAATAGCTACAGAAAAGACAATATATATAAAATATATAGTCATTTTGCATTTTATACGAACATCTTATATATGAACCAAGATACCTAATACCAAAGAGTAGGATTATCTTTGCTACTACATACTTATAGGAATAGTAGTTTTTTCTCTTTTATAGCGTAATTAAGCTGAGACACTGGGTCTGTTCTCACAGAAATCACAAACCAGTCAGTTCGAATTTCATTGGTTGAAAATGGTCAGAAAACTGTATCACAGCGATTCACACCAATCAAAAAACGCTCTGAGTGGACTGTGATTTCTGTGAGAACAGACCTTAAATATATTGAATCTTAGACTTAAAACCTTCATAGTCATGAACATAAACATAAATATATTGCAGAATTTATGTTATGTATAACATAATAATTGGTTTTATATACAATAAAGCAGTTTCTATAGAAGAATTTTATTTTTTGCACCTAGATGTAGTTATTACCATCTGTATAATATGTGCATACATACACACAAATGACTTTTCAGCTGCTGGAAGTATTGACCAAATTAAAATTCACTTCCTTGAAAACCAAGTAAAATTTGTAACTTAGTCAACAGCGTCGCCAAAAACCAATTTTTTTCCCTTTTTCGAATGCTGGTTGGTGTTGTATGATGCATGCATCTGTTTCAGTGGCGTAGGCGTCATCTACAGTTCGCTTTTTTTCACAGGGTCAACGAATCCTTGATTTACACAGAAATAATTACAGATGACGGTTTTAATATTCAATTAATAATGAAATTTAACACTTGAATTTTTCCTTTGTCGAGTTGTCTTCTTTTACCGATTTCACGATTTGATCCCACAACTTTTTGACCTCGTTTTGACAAAGTTTCAACTTTGAAGCTAAATAATTTGATTTTTATAACGAATAGTTTCGATTTATTCAATATGGTTTTATAGAGAATTTAATCCTCTTTCAGATAATCTTTAATTTGAGTTGATTCGTTGGAAATTATCGAAGTTATGAGTATTTATTTAGGAGCTGGTCAATTGATCAAAAATTTCCAAAATATACGTAGGTATACGATTTCCAGGAAAAAAGGCTGGAAAAAAAAAACCAAAAGGAACAAAAAGGAAAAACAGGCAAAATAAAATATGTATACCTATGCCAATAATTTCCTATACAAAAATTCATCCCAACAAAACCCCTATCGTCCCGACACTGTCCCAAAGCAATAACTCATATCGCCTAACAAGGCACCAACCTCGTTGTCCTTTCCCTCTCCCCGGGACAGCAGCCTCTCGAAAAGGCTCTTATCTTCAATCTTGGGTTCTACCTTGAAAAGGAACCAAGTCGAGAAGTCACAACCATAATACAGAACCGGATTTCGATTATGTAGGTTGGGCACGGTCCATCCCTGGGTCAAAAAAGGTGTAAACAAACATAATTTTGGATGGTCATTTTTAAACAGGTCAAAATTATGATGATGATGATTCCAGTCCAGGAAGGACTTTTGTTTACTTGAAATTATTTTATGTTTAAGCACTTCTGCAAAAACTCCACTAGGACCAGGAAGTTTGTTAATCCTTAAGGGAGTTTTGAATACAATCAGATGCCTATTATTGTCACAAGACCAGTAGGGAGAATATCACACTCTTGAGGGTTAAAAACTAAACGAAATAAATTAAAAGGGGGTTGAAAATTTGGTGCTGTTGCCATTTAGAAATAGATTTTAATCTTTTGTGTCTATTTTGAAACATAAAACTAGCATGTTTTGGCAACATCTGTTTCCTCTATTATTCACTTGTGGGAAACAGTTTTAATACTTTTAATCCAGTGACAGTTTTATTGAACTAAATTGAGTTATTTTTTTTTCTAAGGGGGAATTTTCGTGACTCACGAAAGATTTTTTAGTACCGTCCTGTTATTAGACTATAATCGTTTTGCATAATTTAGTACCTGGGCAGCTTTAAACAAACAAAAACGGTTATTGGGTAATGATATGTTTACCAGTAGACTAGACTTTGCCAGTAGGTTGGCAGAAAATCGGTGGTAGGCTGTTTTGGAACCTGTTTTTGGTCTACTACAAGATTCCAAAATGTAATTAGTTTTATACAGGGCGGAGTTCTGATAAAAAGTTGCGATAAGCCTTTGAATTTAATAATTTAGAATAAAGAAATATGGAAAAATCAAGAGTCTCCCACATAACAAAATTGCATCCTTAGAATGTATTAAGAATGTTCCTTTTTTAAGAGGAATGTGCCTAGAATGTTCACCAAAACCATTGCGAATGTCCTGAGAATGTTCTGAGAAAAGATTGTAGAAATACTGTTTGCAATACCCAAGAACTTCCTGGGAAATCCATTAGGATATTCCTAGAATATACCTATGAGATTCTCAGTACACCCTGAAAAGAATATTCCTGTTTGATTCTAAAAATATGCTCGAAATGTATATTCTCACATTCAAAGAATGTTTCTATGACATTATAGTTATGTTCTCAAAAGAATATTATACCAATATGCTTGAAATATTCTTAGAATATATATCTGCATATATCATTCTCAATATGCATCCTAGACATAACATTCTTGGTTGATTCTAAGGATATACTTGGAATGTTAATTTTCGCTTCCAAATAATGCTTTTTTCAGCCCTTTTATATTAAAGGCAGTGAAAGAGTTCTTGGAAAACTTCTCTGGAAAACACAAGTATTTAACCAAAGCTCCGGTTTCGAGCTTGTTATGCTCTCGTCGAAGCACGCCAACTGAGAGAAACAGGTTCCAAGGTGATTCAAACGCGAGGCAAGATGTAGATCTTTAATAGCGCGTGGCTCCCTCTCTTGGAAGTCCTACAAAGCAAAAGAAAAAGAATATACCTCGAATATTCTTAGTAGGTTCTAGATAGAGCATTATTGTTTAATTGTTAAATCAAGATTTTTGAGTCGGTACTTTAGATAATTAGGTGAATAATATGAAAATATTCTTATCATGGCCTACATAAACTTCTCAGCACAACTTGGTAGGAATATTCTTAATACATGATAGAGATATTAGCCGAAAGATCATTTTTAAGGGTATATTATAATAATGTTCGTATGACAATATTGAAAGATTGTTATATAAAGTAGGTTCTTAGCATAATCTTTCAGGTAGGTGCTTCTATAGAAGCAACATTCCTAGTACATAAATAGAACCTCCAAAAATGAATATTTCAATCGAAACAATCTTAGAATATTCATTAGACATCCCTGAAAGAACATTCCAAAAAGCACTTTGAGGGAATATTCTGAGAATATGAATGTTCTTTCACTGTTATGTGGGCTGTTGAAACAGGAAAAACTATGAGGATTCAAGACTTTGAATTGCTGATATTTCCTTATTATTACTAATTTTATAACTTTCAATTTTTGTCTATTCCAGGCACTAATACTATACTAATAGGATGTCTAAAATAATTTTGAAGTTTTTGAATTGTTCTGCTGTTGAAAAATGTTTTGGAACGTTCTAAATGGCTTACCTACTCAAATTCTAAAGTGTTCTAACTTGGCTTAAAGAGTTCTGTAGCATTTTGGAAGTTTTTCAGTAATTTCTAAATTGTTCTGACAGATCTTTAAGTATTTTAGCTCCAAAGTGTTTCAAATTGGTTCAAAAGAGTTCTAAAAGATTTCCACTTCTAATAAATTATTGTTCTAAAATAAATAATTGTTCTAAAATAACTCTGAAGTTTCTAAATTGTTCCATAATGATTCTGAAAATTACTTTAAAACTCTGGGAATTATAGAAAGAGAACCCTCGCAAAGTTGATTACAATAATCCGGTTCCCAATAATTAATAAAAACCCATTTGAAGATTCAATACTGTGAGAACCCTTATACTACAACTAAAATGACTACAATTTGATGATACTATTGCTACCACCTTTATATACCTACACGAAATTATCCCTTTATATTTCAGACTTGCTCCATATACCTAATTTGCTTCTAGGAAATCAATAAATATTGATCTTATAATTTTATAAGCATATATAGTGTGTAAATAAGAAGCTGTTTGTAAAACACACATATTTCAACATTTTATAATATTTTTCTAATTGCTTTGCCAATTATTACGATTTTTGCGTCACAAACTATAATTTTCTGTCACCTTGGTTCCTATAATTGGAGTCACCGAAGCAGTACCTAGGTACCTGCGATAGTCTGATGCACATCAGGGCAAAATGTAATTTATTTTAAAAGCAGAACTTCTAATGCATAAGTCATGTGGTTTTAAATGTAGTGGTACCCACTTATTGTTTGCACAATATTTTTTGTGTTACAACATTGATAAGGTAAGGGGGTTTTATAATAGTGAAAGCTTCCTTATTTATTTATTTATTTTTAGTAGGTAGTTAATTTATAGTGGTATAAAAAAAGTCAAACATTTTCAGTATTAATTATATTCTCTTTCTTGAATTATTAACAATATAAAATTTGAATAGATAACGAGTTATTTTTACTTATGCATCGCGCCAGCAGTACTTTTATCGCGGTGGTACTTTCAGTGTTATAAAGTCGTATTTGTTTTCGTGTATTTGAATTGGTATTAGTGTTTTTTTTTTTGTTTAAAGACAGGGTGTTTTATGTTAGCAGAGTTGGATTTTGGTAAAAGTAAAAATTTCCCAATTGATATTTTTTTGAGTAAATATCTCAAAGAGCTTCTAATTTATTTTTCTATCAAATCTATAAGTTTCAACCCTGAATAAGGCTGTGTGAGAAATGTTTTTCATACCGGAAGGTTGTTGCGGTTGTTGATCTTAAGGGCTAAAAATTCAAAATGGGAAAAACTCCTTAATCAAAAATAGTATCCCTCATCCCTCTAATATCATCAGTAACATTGCATTAGTAACCATTACAAAATAATAATTTGTAGGTGTCAAAATTTGCTACACCTTTTAGCACTGGTAGAAATAGTCATACTATTTCTAATATTGCAACTTCAATTCGAGTAAGTCCAACACTGTTTTAAATTTATTCTAATTACTACCGCTTAAACAAATATTTTTTACCACGTCAAAACATGGATAAAAGACTACCTTTTCCAACCTTTTGCGATAACAGCACACATTTCCATGTGCAACGTTTACGTGTCCGGTGAATTTATTCCTGAAAAATCCAACACATTATCGATCTTTGAATATATTTAGTAGGTAGTGTAGGGCGTCTATTATTGGGTTTGTGTTTATTTCAATAACAGGTATATCTTTATCACAAATTGACCTTTTTTCAGAAAATGTGACCATGGGTTTTGCAGCAATCCAAAAGAACAAAACGTACATCGTTCTTAGCACTATACTGCTAACGTTGACCTATTTTATATTTTCCGCACCGCGTGCTGTAAAACAATCTACTCTATTGATTGGTAATCTGGAAATCCGACCGCCTCCTTTAGACCCGGCGAAAATTGGCGAATGGTGGATGCTGAGAAATCCATCAAATGGAACGGTAATTGGTTTTCTGTTTTACAACGAATTTCTTAACAGTAGAGTACAATTATAATTGACTTTTTTCTTGTACAGCAAAAACTTTCAAAATTAGGCGAAGTTCTGTTTCTGAGCCAACCAGAACTACCTCAAGACACTGACAAGCAATACAAAATTTTGGTTTGGAAATACGGCCCTACCATTGAAAGGCGTCACCTGAAACACTTTTCCGAATCAAGGTTTGTTATTAAATACCGACACACTTGAACCTTTATTGAAATTGATTATTTTCAGAATAGATCCTTTCAGTTATTGTCCAGTGAAAAACTGCGAAATAACCTACGAAGACCAAGACATCAAAACAGCAGATATTGTAATTATTCACTTGCATCGTATAAAAGGAGTACACGATTTGCCTAATAATACTTACCCGAGAGATCCTAATCAAATTTGGACCTTTCTTACAGACGAAAGTCCTTTTAACACCTTTATGAGCTCCAACGATCCACTATATAAATATAATGGACTGTTTAATTGGTCCATGACTTACAGGTGAATACTATGAAAACAACCAAAACCAAAAACATTGATGATTATTTTAGAATGGACAGTGATATTCCAGTACCGTACGGTCGTACTGTTTTAAAAAAGCCCCCTGAAGAAGATGCTGGCTTAGTGGAGCTACTTTTAAACAAAAAACGCGACGTTTTAGTTGCAGTTTTAGGTTCAAATTGTGGCGGCCAAAACCACCGATGGCAATTCATTTATGCTTTGCAAAAATACATACAAGTGGACATTTATGGGGGTTGCGGCACTGAACTCAAACACGAGTAAGAATTTAAAAAAAAAAATACGATTTTTATTTCACTCTGCCAATTTTTTAACATAGATGTCCTGGACATTTTGGACAAGATTGTCCTGAAATAGGAGACTACTTGTTCTACCTTTCGTTTGAAAATTCCAACTGCGACGAGTACATAACAGAAAAACTATGGTGGAATGCGTTCCATAAAAACTCAATTCCAATAGTGATGGGTTCAAGCAAGGAAACCTACAAAAAACTTTTGCCAATCGACTCTTACATCAACGTAGACGATTTTGCTAATCCGCAAGCTCTGGCACAATACGTACAGCGTCTCAATGATACTGGCGAATTCAAAACGTACTACAGTTGGAAGAATAATTTCGAAATATTCAACGAGCACGGGTACTTTAAAAGTACCTCGTTTCATTATTGTCGCATTTGTCAGGCGATGAATTATAACGATCGAGAGATGAAGGTGTACAACGATTTAGAGAATTATTGGAGTGTGAAACGGGATTGTCATCATGCCTGGGACGATTGGAAAGAGGATAATCGATGAGGATGATTCAATAATACTGTGATTTTGTTTGTTTTATGTGATATTTGTTAATAGTTTTTATTATTGTTTAATAAATGTTCCCTTTATTACTTTTTGATGTATCTACACCTACTAGGCATCATCGGACATAATTTTATAAGGCTTCTTTATCTTGGACTGTTTGTGTCGAACGCCAGTACACAGACATTGTATCATACATAAAAGTGTAATTGATGTTGGATTGTTCTAATACCTTCCAAAGTCTGAATACTGGGACTATATTGTATGGTTTTTTTAGGTCCACAAATGTGAGATGCGGGTTTCCAAATGTCTAGCAGATCTCTTCGCTATGACTTGTCTTGGGCAAAATACGTGTGATCTTCCTGCTCTAGAACCTAGAACCGCACTGCTTTTTTCTTCTTTCTCTTTATAATCTTCCTCATCGTGTGATCACGCAGGATTCTACCGTATAGTCTGCTTGTGACTGATATGCTCCAATAGTTAATTTTTGCAGTCTTGCTTATTTCCTTTTTTGTGAATGGATGATATAAAAGCCGTTATCCAGTCTTGTGGAACAGGATGTCCATTTAGGCATTTATTGATAATACATGTAAGACCTTTAAAGAGCTTATTCTCAATTCCTCATTATAGAATTTCGGGGCATATCCCTTTTGGGCTGATTTTAAGATTCTTAACAGTCTTTTAGACTGTTTCTTCAGATATTTCAACTCTTCTTTCAAATATGAATCTGTCAACACGAGCAGATTTTGAGATATAATTTTTTTATTTCTACCCCTATTTAGACACCCTCTGACGGCCTATCGGGATCTGGTGTTAGGGTGAAAAATAGCAAATGCTTGTCATAATTTGTCCTGAAAATATGAATCTGTCAGCACGAGCAGATTTTGAGATATGATTTTTTTTTAAATGTCCACCCCTATTTTGACACCCTCTGACGGCCTATCGGGATTTGGCGTAATGGTGAAAAAAATTGCAAATGCTTGTCATAATTTGACCTGAAAATATGAATCTGTCAGCACGAGCAAATTTCGAGATATGAGTTTTTTGATATCTTCACCCCTACTTTGACACCCTCTGACGGCCTCTCGGGATCTAATGTTAGGGTGCAAAAATACAAAATGCTTGTCGTAATTTATCCTGCAACTATAAATTTGTGAGCACGAGCATATTTTGAGATATGATTTTCTTGATATCTTCAACCCTATTTTGACACCCTCTGATCTGGTGTTAGGGTTAAAAAATAGCAAATGCTTGTCATAATTCGACCTGAAAATATGAATCTGTCAGCACGAGCAGAATTTGAGATATGATTTTTTTATTTCCACCCCTATTTTGAAACCCTCTGACGGCCTATCGGAATCTGGTGTTAGGGTGAAAAAATAGTAAATTCTTGTCCCAATTTTTCCTGAAAATATGACCCTCTCAGTACGAGCAGATTTAAGGTTATTGTATTGTCTTATATTTCCGACGCCACTGGCCGTTCGGCAGTTTCCGGAAGTTTTGGAGGCTATCTTTAGAGGCTAATTTCACACCGGTTCGGGGCTTTCAGATTTAGCCTCCTTCTTCTTGTGGACGGGACAAGGATTGTTTTGTTTGCGTTTAGGGATAATCCTTCGCCTTCGCTCCAATTTTTAACGATGTTTAGGGCACTTTGCATTCGGCTTGTCACTACGCCTTCATGTTTGCCCTTGATTACAATGGCTAGGTCATCTGCGTAGCCTATGACCTGGTATCCAGCACTACTCAGTCTGGTAAGAATTTTGTCTACCACCAGTGCCCATAGTAGTGGAGAAAGAACGCCCCCTTGAGGACACCCTCTGACCGTGGTAGCGATAGCTGATGCTCCGTTTATTTCAGCCGTAACGTGACGGTGTTTCAGCATCGACTCTATCCATTTTACAATTGGGACTTCAACGTCCCATTCTTGTAATGCTCTGGCGATTGATTGATGTGAGGTGTTGTCCAAGGCACCCTCTATGTCGATGAAAGCTGTGAGAGCGATCTCTTCGCACTCGATTGTCTTTTCAATGTCTTTAACAAGGCAGTGCGAAGCACTTATTATTGTGGATTTGCCTGGCTGATAAGCAAATTGCTTCGAGTAGAGCGGTCTTCTCAATAGAGTTTCGCTTGTGATGTACTTGTCGATTGCTTTCTCCATTGTCTTGAGGAGAAAGGAGGTTAGGCTAATGGGACGATATGATTTTGGTTCGTCCTCGACCTCGGGTCGGCGACCCGTTTTTGGTATGAATATCACATTAGCTTCCCTCCAAGATAGCGGTATGTGCCCTAGGAGCAGGCTTGCCTTAAAGAGTTTTTGTAGGTGTACCTTTAAGTACTCGTAGCCTTTTTGCAGTTGTGCGGGAAAAATCCCGTCTTTGCCTGGAGATTTGTAGGGTCTGAAGCTATCGATCGCCCATTTTATTCTGTTCATTGTGAAGATTTTCCCAGCCAGCCTTTTGCTCCTGCCGTTAGGGCTTCAACGATTACCGAACCTGGAAAGTGAGTTTGTAATAGTACCTCTATATAGACTTTCTATATGATCGGTAAAGTGTTCTCCGTTTGGCTTTTTAAGCAGACCAATTCCGTTTGAGGGTTTTTTTGGAGCAACTTTTTGGAGACGTTGAGCTGGGGCTAATTCGTCTATCCCCTCGCAGAATTGTCTTCATGATTTCCTTTTTGATTTTCCTAATTCACGGTTGTACTTGTCTAGGGCTGTTCTATAGTCTGCCCAGTTGCCGTTTGTTTTTGCCTTGTTGAACAGTTTTCTGGCATCTTGTTTCAGACATCTCAGCTGCCCGTTCCTCCAAGGCACATTTCTGTGGACTGCCTTCTGTTTTACGGGACAACTGTTCTCATAGGAATCTTTTATTGCATCTGTTAGATTGTCAGATGATGCCTCTAGCTCTTCTATTGTATTTATGTCAAAAGGGAGTTTATCTAGACGCAGGCAGAGACCCTCCACATAGGATACCCAGTTGGTGAGTTTTGGGATTCTCGTCTGTATTGAGTGATTCATTACTGCCTCTAAGTCGAACCTTATTGCTTGATAGTCCGACAGGGAGGGTTCATTTGACACAAGCCAGTTGGTTATTGTGTTAGATGTAAATGTGTCAGCGAGAGTCACGTCTAAGACCTCTTGTCTGTTGGCGTTAATGAAAGTGGGTTTGTTACCTTTGTTGATAATGTCTATGTTGTTAGAGTTCAAATATTCAAAAAGATACTCACCCCTTACGTTTGTATCGGTGCTTCCCCATCCTACCTGGTGATGGGCGTTGGCGTCTGCCCCGATAATGTAGTGTCTGTTTCTCGCTTTGCACCACGTGATGAGTCATTGGACGATCTCTGGCGGTACTGAGTTATCATCACCTGGAAAGTAGGCTGAGGCTATGAGAATATGCCTTGAGCCCCCTTTCGTTGGCACTTCTACTGAAGCAGCTGCCAAGTCTTGTGTGATGACGTCTGGAACAGGTAAGAATTTTAAATTTTTGTCAAGCAGCAGTGCTTCTCTTGGTCTTTTGTGGTTAATGTAGATTAACTTACATGATTTAATATTTAGGCTTTTTATAGAGCCTCCATTGACCCAGGGCTCTTGAAGTAGCCCTACGTTGATTTTTTGTCCAAACATTCTTCTTCTAAGCTCACTAGTGGCAGCTTTTGAGTGTTGAAGATTTATTTGAATGCATTTGATGCTTGGTGAGTTGCTTCTCTTTGGTTGCTTGGAGGAAGCCATTAGAGTTGCACTCACTTTTCGGACCCCACCTAGACACTTTCATCTTAATGGCTCATTGAGTCTTTAGACGTGCCTGCCCTTGGTTCGGCGCCGCTTTTCTTTGGGGAGCTTGGTTGCTCCACAGCTGTTTTACTCCGGCTGCTTTGCGGTCTCATAGTCGTATGACCGAACTTGTAGCTTACGGCGTAGCCTCCGGATTTGAGTTTTTCTGCGGATGCACTGTCCACAGAAAGGGTTAAAGTGACCAGGTGGCCCTCGGCGTTACGTCGGATGACTCGCCAATTTTTGACGTTTAGGTACCTTAGGTACCTATATACTAAAAAAACTGTTAACTCAAGGGGAACAACTATAGCCAAGCAGAAAATTACAGATCCATAACTTTATCTGAACACACTGTATAAATATCCAATAACAACACTTTCCAACGACAATTTAAAAACCTACAGTGCCTGGAATTTACAAAAAATGAAATTTTTTATTAAGGTCTGTTCCAAAAACTGTCCCAAGAATGGTTTCAGAGCCACTCTGTATACGAATTTTTTGGTTTTGCGCAGTATCTTGACGGTACATTGTACGGTTTTCTGCTTTCATGGAACAAAGCTAAAACTTTTGAAAAAAATTTAATACTAATTCGGCCCTATATTGTTACTAACTAGAAAATTGGGATTTTCATTTACCGTCGGGTCGGTTGGGGTACTGTATTACGTAATAGTTTTTTTGCCCCACTCACTTATTCATATTTATATTTATTACTTTATCTGTTTATATTTTTTTTTGGGGGGGTTTTTGTCGGGCAAGGGATTTACGATTTACATTATTTAGATTAGTCAGTCGAGTACGGAACGTTGGAGATCAAGTACCGCAAAGTCGCGTCCGAGAATTATGGATTTTCTTCTCAAACAAGTTAGGATTTTCCGACTATTGTGTTGTGTGCCCATAGTGTAGGTACCAATTAACTTCTGGATTTTGGTAAGTACCTCAAAAATTATTTTTTTAGTAATTGAGATTTACTGAATCTGGAATAAACAACCCTTGATTTTTTTAATGTCTGGAGCAATCCAGAACTTTCTTAATTTATGTTTTTTTTTTCAATTCAAATTATGATTCACTTGATTCTCTATAACTATGGGCAACTAGTAAATTATACAGGGTGTCCAACAAAAATGAGTTTTCCAGAAAATCTTTCGCACATATTTTCATCATAATTTTTTTTTTTTGATTTGGCTTTCCAAAATTGCGTTGGTGAAGAAAGTGTAGATGAGCTTGTGTGAGGGTTGAATAATCCAGGGATGTAGATTGTTGTGAGATAGAATGCTGGGTTCTGGATATGTATAATGTAGGTTTTTTTACTGTCTCATTTG